AAACCGTTCTTATCTCAACCCACGAGTTTTACTTCTTCTCCCGATTTTCTCCCCCATCCCACTGGATGGGGGGGAAGTGAGTGAGTGTCTGCATGGTGCTTAGTTGCTGGCTGGGGTTAAACCACGACAAAGCTCTAATGTTTCTGAAGGAAAATATACACTTAAAGGCAATAAGGCCTGAAAATCAGCTCTTCCCATAAGACTTATGCAGAGTTACAGAGTACTGAAGCACAACATAGTATGAGGAGAGCTTCACCTGAGCACTACTCACTTGAATGGCTCCCTGGGGCCAAAACTAAAAGGCACAGCTTTGAGCAGCCCCAATGGTGCTTCAGAGGATGCCAGGCTTTCTGTTAGGTATCAAACCAAAGTAGGAACTACAGCTAGCACTCTCACAGTAGTTGAACTTGGATGATATCGAGCCTTGTTACAGATTGTTGTCCAAATTTTATGCTGGACTAGAGTTCATCACAGAACAGCCCAGGTTGGAAGGGAGCTCCAAAAATCATCTGGTCTAACCTTTTGTGGGAAGGGAGTTATGGCCATCCACAGAAGTACAGCACCTCTAATGTGAATGATTAATCCTGTCCAACTCAAGTGAACTGTTGTTTTTAAAAGAAATGTACTTGTATATATTGTCTTTACAATATGTCTCAGTTAACACTTAATTCAGAAAGTGCCATAATGTCATACTGGTGTTTCAGAACAATATGCATATGTCAGCATACATATTGGAAGGTGTGGTTTAGACTTCTGCTTATCTCCGGAAGATTCATCATCAGCAGTTACACTGTCAAAGAGAACAGAAGCAAACTGGAAAAACTTGAAAACTGCTGAAAATTTGGCTGATTAATTTTGGAAAAGGCTTTGTCTGAAAGGAAAGGGGAGAAAAACGGATGCTCATATGAGGCAAACTCAAGCTAGTTACCACAATGATTCCACAAAATGGCACTGTACTTTCCAATACAAATGAGTTGTCTATCAAGACAGGGAGGTTTATTTCTTGTGAAAAAGAGCCAAAAATCTATCTCAAGGTATTTCTGCCTTCCGCTTCAGGTATTGACTGGAATTGTCACCAGGCAAAAACATGGAGCAATGCAAAGCATTCATCTTCCACTTGTCTATGTAAACAATGAAAAGAAGGTACTGGAGGGAGGTGGTGCAATAAGGAGAAGCAACCAAGTATTTACTTAAGCAGCCAACCATCAAATAATTTTATGTCTTGCTTTATGATATAAAAAGTATGGAAGAGAGTTTTTCCTGATCAGCTGATCCAGGCAGAGTGCAATGATACAGAAGCTACATGAAGTCATCTATCCAATTACAAAGATCAACTACAGTTAAAGAAAAATAAGCATTTATTCCAAATGCAACAATGTCCTTAAATACTATATTTAAGGTATATACTTTACATACTTCTTTATGTCAGTGCTCTTGGAATAGCTGGTCACTTATGAATATGTTGACTATGCCCCTATTACTGAAAGTAAATAGGAAACAAAGCACTTAAAACTTCAAATCTGTCACAGCTCGTCTAGGTGTACACATGTCAGTATGAATCTCAAAGCAAACTAAACAATAAAGGAATTACAATATCAGGAAATCTATGCTGCCCTTCTACAGCAATGCTGTTTTCTGAAAAAGGCGTTTGCTATTCACTCTCTTCCATATATTCCACTAAAGATTATCAAATGTTCTCCTGAGAAATCTTTAATTATTTTTGTACTAACATGAGGATCTCCTGAAATCAAATTTATGTACTCCCTTGAAATCCACCATCTGCCTGCGAGATACAATCTATGACCTTGCAGGTCCTAATGCACTCATGTTATTGGCAATGTATCCAGCCAGGGTAAGGAAACAGGAGCAGTGGGAATTGTGCAATACTATACAATGGGAAACCAGAGAAAGAATTTATTGTATTAATCAAGATGAAACTGCTATTTGTCCCAGATTTTGTGCACATGGCAAGAGAGGAGGAGGGTGTTTACAGCACTATGTATTTCCTGAGGCAGTCTGGATGTTAAAATGTCTGTCTGCACTGCATGAATGCAGGAAAGTCCCTGCAACAAGTTTCAAGGCAATGACATTTCTACCCCTGGGATTATCTGTTTACTAGTGCATATCCTGGATAAACAGCCAGAAGTGTAACAATCTGACAGGCTTTGGTACATGTGTAGAAAAAAAACCTTCCAGCCTTTTTTTCTGTCCCTAGGAATAACAGACCCTTTTCATGTCTAGAATAAAAGACCAGACTCTGAAAGCCCTGAGCGCAGTGATAAACCCTATTGGCCCTGCCCAGTCTCCCCTGAGGACTCCCCCCTGCACCCTGCCCACAGGCTCACACAGCCCATTTCAGCCTGCCCCAAGGGTGTTAGTCCCTGCCTGAACTAACAGAAGTGCTTGTCTCCAGACTCATCTCTGGCTCTGCTGCCTGGGTGGACCTCAGACCTGTGCTATGGGTAGCTTCCCTCCCTGAAGGACCCCTTGGATGTATGTTGTAGCTTGTCTCCAGTTCTGACTCTGACCCTGTATCCTGGATGGACCCACACTGTTGCCTTGTCTCCAGCCCTGTCTCTGGTTCCATCTCCTGCTGCTCCTGAACCTGACCCATCACTTGCCTTGTCTGGGATGGTCAATGGAGCCTGTTAGCTTGTTACGAGAGCCTTGGTCTGCCTGCTCCACTTGGCTGCTGTGGAACTGCTCCCTGGACAATGAGGGCACTGCCTGAGCTGTAGCTGGTCAGGGTGCCTGGCTCCTATCACCTTGTGCAGCAGCCCCACTCGTGCTGCTCCCTGGACATAGTCTGTGTTGCTGGTAAGGCTGCTAGACCTTGCAGTGAACTTTATGCACCTCTCTCAAGCAAATCCATGCAGAACAGAGATGAAATGTAACAGTAGCACATTCCTCATTTTCTGAGGATAATCTCTGCTCCCTCAGTCTAGTCTCTTCACAACTGGAAAATTCTGAGAACTTTTGCTATTTCCACTCATTTAAAAAAACAAGTGTTAAATACTGGGCATTGATTGTAGGTTACTTCAGGAAACACACAAGCCTAAACTCTGCTGGCATGTCACTTCTCTCATACCTTGTAACAACTAAAGTAGAACAATCTGTGGATGCAAAAAAGGTTCCATTTTAAAAGGCACATGGTCACTTGTAATTAAATGGTCAAAAGTTTAGGTAGATGAATGCTGCAAGTATATGCTTTATTGTTTTCTAGTATTTTTTGTTGGGATTCATTAGACAGGAAGCATGTTCAGATCCCACTTTTTGAGTCATGTATCACAAGGTTACTGTAAGCGCACTGCAAACCTCTAAAATGAACTCTTAGCCTGTCACTTATCATAACTTATTTTCATTTCATCTATGCCTTGCCTACATAGCACAAAGAACGATACTTAAAATGGTCAGCTGAATTGAAACTGATAAACAGTTTGTGCTGTAACAAAATTTGACATAGCTGGGATGCATTAACTTTGGCTGACTGCCAGGTGCCCACCAAGCCGCTCTATCACTCTCCCTCCATTCTCCACTGACCTTGGTGTCTGCAGAGTTGTTTCTCCCACATACTCTCAATCCTCCCTCCCTGCTGCTGTTGCACAGTGGTTTTTACTCTTCTTAATTATGTTATCACAGAGGGGCTACCAACATTGCTGTTTGGCTCAGCATTGGCTAGTGGTAGCTCCACCTAGGAGCCAGCTGGAACTGGCTCTGTTTGACATGGGGGCAGCTTCTGGTGTCTTCTCACAGAAGCCACCCCTGCAGTCCCCTCGCTACCAAAACCTTGCCACGTAAACCCAAAAGAGTATCAAGTGCAAATGGGGTTGTAACAGTGTTCTTCCTTGGTCAAAATCTATTTATGACCCCGCTAGCTGTCTAAACTTCAATGCACAGAAAAACAGTAAAATTGCTTAAAAATGGTCCTTTAGTCTCTTGAAGGCTTAACATTCTGAGTAACCTATCCAAGGAGTTACTGGGGATGCAAACTGTTACTTTAAGAAAATGCAAATAAAATTAATAGATCATATCTGCAGGAATGGAGCCTGCAACATTTCTAGAAAAATTGAAGCACTTTTCATGACTGACAGACAATTGTTTAAGAGCATAAGAAAAAACTCGCTAAGTTTATGGTGGGAATCTGGTGAAAAAATAATGTCAAACATTTACCTAGGGTTCAAATGCATTTGACAGCTTTTATGTTTTGGGAAATTTGTATTTTCATTCCAGTCATGAATACACAACTACATGGGACTTCAAACTACAAGGTGTTGATTTACTACAAGCCAAATGCTTATCCTCTCTTCCATGAAACATCCTTAGCCCTTTCTTGTTGTATATCACAGCACGAAGGTGTTTTACTGGGAAAAATCTGAGAGTTTGAAATGTCATTTGTATTATGAATTGTTTTAGGTGACTCCTGGACTGTACTGCAACTTGCTCTCAACCTTCACTCTTCTTAGGAAAGAGTCTGGTTATGATATGAGATAATTCTCAGACAGCTGCAAGCCTTTCCCTTACAAGGAATCCCTACCTTGTTTAGACTCTGGCATCTGTATATCCTAATTGTACTCTCATTGTGAGTAATCCCTAGGATGCCATAACTAAGTGATCCCCAGATAACCTGCTTGAAAAATAATTATCTTTTTTAAAATATTGTTCTATAACTCAGATTACAACAGTTGCAAAAAAAAAAAGAGTGAAAAATTAAAACTAGCATGGTTTCTCTTAACAGACTAAAATCATTGCCCAGCATTTATCACCAGGCATCTCAGCCCTTGACATGCCTGTTGTGTTAGATATTACACAAACATATATTAAAACTTATGGTCCTGCCTCAAAACATGTATAGTCACACGATTAGGAAAATCATCCACAAACACAGTAAACAGGGGTGAAAGTGCTGAGTCTTCCTTCTGATTAAAGATGAAAACCTGTAGCCACTGCTATTACAGAGGAAGTGCATTACTTATTGACTCACTACAATGCTATTGCATTACCTGTGGTTCCTTATTGTGTTGGCTGGGATCCTTTTCGTAACTCTCTGCATAGATCCGGAGAGTAGCTCTCACATGGCTAGAAGCACTCATTCTGAAGATAAGCCTGGAAGCATCTGAAAAAATAATTCGCAGCCCCTAGGGGAGAAGAAGCAGCAGCATATATGTAAGGTGGCAGTACATTTACAAATCACAGTTCACTGCTTTCAAATAAAAAGTGGAGGGAAGAGTCATTTGGATGCAGGTCCTCTTTCCCTGTAACTTTGGACAACTCATTTATTACTCTTTTTCCCCCCCCTCCAAAGACTAGAAATGATCTTGTGTATTCCCTCCCAATCCTCATAACAAGGACTCTCTTACTGCTGTTTTCATTTTTTATTTAGTTGATTTGTTCTTGTTCTGTGTGGCAGAGCACAAAATCAATGGCCTGAGAAGTAGTTATAAGATCAGCAAGGATTAGTGGCCTAAAAAATAGCTCCAGGATCCCAAGATCAAAACCCAGTTGTCAGTAGTGAATACAAAGGACAGGATCAGTTGCTACCCCTCATAGACCATACATCAACATTTGATTAGAAGAATTTCAACAAGAGCCTCCAGTACAATTTGGGAAAATTAACTTATATTAATTAATATCCAGTACACTAATTAATGCATATTAACTGTGTGTAGAATAAAAAGGATTTATTATTAATTAACTGTGGATTTGCTCTTTGTTCCTATCTTCACGTCTTTTTTCTTCCTCCCTCCCCTCTTTCATACTGTATATATGAACACATTCTCCTACAGACCACAGACCATATACTTGGATCCACAGCTGACAGACTTTCTGTACCGGAAGGCCATTAAAGCCAAAGGACTAAATTACACAGTTAAATAGTTGTAGTGTTTCAATACCAATTCTGCACTAACATGCAGTCTAGTTCCCTTTCTGTAAATGGCACCCTTAGGCTAAGTGTCACCTCTGCTGTGCCGCTGAACTTTATTTCCCCTTGTAGTCCTGCTGTTGGCAAATGCCTAGTACATAAACTGAGATCTTTGCTACTTTTGTTTAAGGGGCAGTAAACCATTAAAAAAACGAGAGAAGAGAATTAATAGAGAAGCATTTTATTCTTCCAGTTTTATCAGCAGCTTCAGAAGACACTGATGTTAGAAACACAGTGCTCCAATATTCTAAAGTATAAGTAGAAACATTTGTTCCCTCAGGTATATGCCAAAACATCTTCAGCACCATGTAAAGCATTGTTTGGTTGATAATCACAGAATTATAGAATAGTTTGGGTTGGAAAGGACCTTTAAAGGTCTAGTCCAACCCCCCTGCAATGAGCAGGGACATCTTCAAGTAGGTCAGATTGCTGAGAGCCTCATCCAACCTGACCTTGAATGTTTCCAGAGGTGGGGCATCTACCACCACTCTGAGCAACCTGTTCCAGTGTCTCACCATGCTCATTGTAAAAAATTTCCTCCTTGTACCTAGTCTGAATCTGCCCTCTTTTAGTTTAAAACCATTACCCCTTGTCCTATCACCACAGGCCCTGTTAAAAAATTTGTCCCCATCTTTCTTACAAGCCCCCTTTAAGTACTGAAAGGCTGCAATAAGGTCTTCCTGGAGCCTTCTCTTCTCCAGGCTGAACAACCTCAACTTTCTCAGCCTGTCCTCATAGGAGAGGTGTTCCATCCCTCTGATCATTTTGGTGGCCCTCCTCTGGACCCAATCCAACAGGTTCATATCTTTCCTGTGTAATGCCCATTAACACTAGAAAATAAAAAACAGGAAAATATCTTACCTGGAAAAAGGGTTGGATTAGATGGCCTAAGAGATATTTTCCATCTCTAACTTTGGTGATACCATGAAACTTCTTTTAGCTGCTAGTATGGTATTATATATTAATTTTATCATGTATCAGCAATCTAAATTTATGTAGTATTCTCAATATGTACAGCAAAAGTGACAAACAGAAATAGTTTACATTCAAAAGATTGAGCTTTAGAGCCTGTTTTTCTAGTATTTGCTGTTAAGCCAACTTTGTAATGAGATGGTTCAATTGATGTTGATGTGAGTTTTGCCATTAATTTCAGTGGAATCAAGATTCCATCTTGGCTGCCTAGAATTACACAGGCAGTTTGCTATGATCTGATCCTGTGAGCAAGGGGTTGTCTCTTACTGATTGCTCATTACGCTTAATTTTATGACAGTGGAAAGAAACAAGATAAATTGAAGAGTTTCGCAGTTCTGGGTTTGTTTCAAACGGTTGTCAAACTCAGAACCAGCACCTCAAAGTACAGAACATTAATGTCAATCAGCTTTAAGAGAGAAGGAAGGAAGTCCAACATACCTGCAGAAAATGAAAGCATGAACACCACAGCATGTGTCTTCCTCTTCAAAGACTAAACGGCCATTTTATATGCTCCTGCCAGGCCTAACAACTCCCACAATGGCATGACTAGCAAGACTACTTGAATACTCTTCCACATACTCCATGTTTATCTCGCAATAACAACAATAGCACATTGTTACTTGGTTTAGCACATCTGAAGTCTCACCACTCATTAAATTATGGTCTTCAGAATAAAAAGGATTTATAAACACTCCCCATAACTCTTCCCATAACTTTATCATGCAAAAACGTTCCACTGAACTACGGCATCTGTAGCCAGTTTGATGTTACAGTTAACGGCACTTGGGATGCTTATATAACATATATAGACACACAGCCAGCATTCAGACAGTTCACTGTACTATTTCTGAGCTTATTATTTTACTCATTTTGCATTTCTCAGGGACACACAACTGACACTATTGATTTTTATAGATGCATGATGACAATTAATTTTTGTCTGTAAGACTAGGATTCCTGCCATACAGCTGAAAATACTCTGTAAAAGGGAATTACAGAGACACAGTGGCTGTAATCCTTAAAAACAATAAACCTAAGTGCCAGCGATAAATCATATTCTAGGGAAACAATGGCCTTTAGAGCTGGACTGTCCAAGTCAACTTTTAAAGTTAAGATATTTGCACCTGGAGATTCAGTTTAACTCATTTTTCAGAGAGCCCAGCAGCAAGAAATCTGACTTTTGACTCTCCCTTGGAAACAGTCAGTTAAGCACTAGCAAAGCTTTTCACTCAGGAAGGCCATAGAAATTAATGAGAGCGCTTAAATTTTTATATCCTTCACTGTTTTCTGGAAATTATACCTAAAAGCCATGAGTTACAAACATTTGTTAAAGCCAAAAAAACCCATCCAAAACCACTGTTACCAAATAAATATGGAAAAGCATTGCTTGGACAATAACCTGTGACTCTCCATGTTGTGTAAAGACAAAACCAAACAGATTTTCCACACTTGTTACAGAATATCCAGTCTAATACATAAAAGTTTTCCTTCCTGACATTTTTGAGCTTTTGTGGTCAGCAAGGTCAAAGCAAGCTCGTGAAATTGCAAGCAGCCTACTTACTGTTTGTCATGATGGTATTTTTTCACCTGACATAAGCTCCACTAATCTAAAGCCACATATTTGCAATTTATTATATAGAAAGTGTCAGCTCCATGAAACATAGAATTTTACATGCAGAACTTATAAACCAATGCAAGAGGAAAAGAAAGAAGAATAACACACTGGAAAGCCCATAGGACAAAGTAACTTCCAGTTTTAACAAAATAGGACAGACTATTTGTCGCTAACAAGAATAATGTTTTCTTACGGGAACAGACAATTTTTCTTCTGGAAGGAAGCAGATTAAAAGGTTTAGTATGGCTCCCACACTGAACATCTACAGATACTTGTTTTAGGCAAATTGGGCCTGCTAATGGATATTAATGAGCTGTGTGGAAACTCTGTAACAAAATAATGTCCCCCCGTTAACCCACTGACTTTGAAGCTGATGTGATGGAGATGGACCTTCACTGGGATTTCTCTCTTTTACATTAAAATCCAGTTAAACAGTCTACTGATGTATCAGTACCTATGAAACACTCAGAAAACTAAACCGACTACATATTGTACTATGTAGTTTGGTTTCCAGTGGTTTGGGGTTTTTTTCAGCTACCAATTTCATAATTAAATAAATAATAATAAAGTCGCATAATAAGTTAGCATGAACAAGACAAAGCAGCAAACTTAAAGCAAAATAGCTTAGGATTTCAAAAAACATTACTAAAGTATAACATCAGGGAGTAACATCAGTAGAAAATCTATCCTACCAGCAATATATTAGACACAGAGACATATACATAAATTAGGAGCATATAAAATGGCTATACTTTTGCTTCAAGATACTGTGAGTATCACAATTTTTAATTGCTCCTCTATGGAACCCTGAGTGTCCCGTAGGCATAGCAGGCCACACTCGCTACTCTGACAGGAAATACCTTATTGCTGATACATGACTGAAATATCATTCTGAACAGAGAAGAATTTTTGCCGTATCTCTGGGGAGTTATCTGAAATAACTTTTTTCCAACTTTTCCAATACCTGTTTCCTGACTCTTGCTCAAACTGTAATACAAAAAAACCAAGACTACATGCAGAGCCCTCTGCATCCCAAATCTAACAAAGGAGCGAGAAAACATTAACAAACTTCTAATAACAAAGCTCCAGAGTTTTACTCTGTGAATCTCAGAATATAAGAACACTTCATTAAAAAGCTCAAAGTTAATCATTAGAATGGGCAACTTGTACTTCTCATCCTTCTAATTCAAATTTCGCACAAAAATGCAACTGGTCCCATTTCCGGCTTGCAGGATCCTCAGGAGCAGCACTGTTACGTGCTCATGTGTGCAAAGGCTAGCACAATAGGACTTTAAAAATGAAAACAGTCTTCAAGAACAGCAGAACATTCAATTTGATTTTATGGCTTATTATTGCACTGTGATAAACAATATTCATGGGTTTCAATAGTCAGAGTGAATTAGAAGCTACAGTGTGGGCATATTGTTTGCTGCCTATTTTGTTGTTGCTGTGTTTGTTTTCTGAACCTGCTGTTTATTAACACTGATTAATTATCATGCAGCCAGCTTCTCATTCATGAGACATAGTACAGTTACACTGAATATAAATGTCTGTCCCCTACCTCCTGGGGACAAAACTTTGAACAGGTTCCTGAAAACATAGCTGGAAAGTCTGCATGAAGCTCATGACAGTCAGAAAGAGGTACCTGCATTTACATGAAGACCAAGCTACCTGAGAAAAATGGCAGCAGTGAACTATCGCTTCATTTGCATGGATCAATGTCCTCTCTTATTTTATTGTGCTTGGAGAATCCCACTGAGGCTGCACACACATGGAGCTAGGAATGTGCCCTTGTCAAAAGACAAACTGGTTGAACTGTACTCTCAATAAATACGTGCTTCTCCCTGTGAAAAGACATGCTTTCTGATTTTATGGGCTCACTTTCAGAGTCCATCTGAAAACAGGCCAAGTCATGTTTCTCTGTGTTACATGGTGATATGATTAGCAATTATATTCCAATTTAGGACAAGGGCTTTGGATGAAAATGAGGGGAAAGAAAAGTGCAATGAAAATTCACAAGCTGTTTCTTAAAAGTACAAGGTCCACAAGTCTCCTGTGCCTGTAATTTTCCAGTGGACTTGGATATGACAATATCCTCGTATCTTTTTTCAGCAGTAATATGCACAAAGAGAGTAGCTCAGTGGCAGGTGGGCTACTTATATTTTCTGGATGCAATGATGAATGGAAACTATAAAGACTGAGCAGAATGGCATGACAATAGTTTTAATGGCTTGTAATATCATCTGCTAGGGTCTGGTCAGGTCAAGTAATTTACAAACCAGAGAAACTAGGACAATAAAAATAAACAGCATAAAATCAGAAGACATTTTAATATGAGTCATAGCTCATATTCAAGATATTTGAATATACATTTACACGTGGCAAAAGTACATGGGTAGTTCTGAGCACATCATGAATTTCAAAACACTGAAGGCTCAGTTTGAACTGCAGTTCTTGATAGCTAAGGAATCTCGTTATGGACACAGCCCAGAAGGAACACAGAACCGGTCATTTGGGCTAGAGAAGTCAAAACTGCCCTCATATGGTACGATCCACTAACATCTTGTGCATGCCATTGGCTACAACAGATACTGTGCCTTAACTATGCAAATCCTGTGGGTCACCAAGAGCAAGAAAATTTTAACTTTTTCTGTAACGTACAGCAAGTGAAGATTTCAGATAGAAAATAAAGAAGAAAAGACTGTCTTTCTACTTTGCTTTGTTCAGGAAAGGGAACCCTCCCTACACGTGCATTGCTGTCACTAGGGACTCCATCCCCTCCTACATTCTCTGTGACACTACTGGCTCCAGCTATGCACAGCAAGTGCAAGCTAAACCAGAGGTGGATTATCTTATCCAGACTGAGCTAATCTTAAGTAGGAAATGTGGTATCTACCAGAGCAAAGAAAACACCATCCTATAAATAAATGGAGAGGTTTGCCAGCTGAACGTTAGAAACACTGTTAGAGACAATATGACAGTTGCAAAACTTTGGTACTCCATCACTACAGCCATACCTGTCTTTTGGTCACAGTGCCATCCACAGGATCTATGTATTCAAAGCTGTCTGTTCTCTCCACACTGTAGATATTGTTACCCACAGCAAACTGCTGATGGCTGAATGATTTGTCAGTGATCAAAGCTTCCAGGTCTCTCATTATGAAATACGCTGTTCTGGGTTCCAATGCTTCATAATCAAACCTTGCACATATATAAAAAAAGTAGAACCAAGAAGTAAGTCCTCTACAGCTGAGAAAACAGTTCTGCTTACACAGAACTCAATATACTCACAATTAGCAATTTACTGCTTCCTTCAAAAATCAGAGGTGGACACTGAAGTAATGACAGCAAATTAAACCAGCACACACTTGCAAGTTCTGTGCAATCTGACCATTATCTGTGTGAACCAGAGTTCCACTCTGGCCGCCTGACTCTGAGTCAACAGAAATCATTTAGAAAATGCACCTTTTCTGAAGTAGCATAGAAAACGTCATCTATACACAGCTAGCTTTCCAAGATTAAGGACACAATCAGTGCAGCGCGCAACACCAAAGTGAAATGGAGAAAACTTTGCTACAAGTTTGGAGGAACAGCTGTGTGCAAAAGACCTTACAGATATGTGAACTCCTCTGGATTAAATCTATTCTGAGGGAAAGAGAGAGGCAGAAGCTAAGATATAAATGACAGTTAGAATACACGCTTTTGAGACCTCAGTAAAAATGAGTAAATGTTCGGATCTTTGGAGGAGTTCTCCTGAATTAAAAGTAGACATAGTCCCAGTTCTCACTAAAACACTGTCACACGGAAACAGATACAGAAACAAATGCAGGAGTAAATATTGCTGGGATTTTGATTTTTTTTTCAACACCACGTAATGATCTATGCCTACAGATTCTACAAGTAATTCAAATATTTCTGCCATTCAATATCAGAAAATTCAATTACTCATAGACTAAAAGTGACGTAAGATGCTGCTCCTTCAGTAAGTAAATAACTTCTGCTGCCAATTAGTCATCAGAAAAAACCTGCCTACAGAACTGTGGCAATCTGTGGCACATTTTCATTCTGTGGACACAGCAAATGCACACCTAAATGCAGCTGAGCACAGCTGAAGAAGCCATGGTTGTAGCAGAATTGTCCTACCAACCGCATAAGTTCCTGTGCCTTTTCCTCATTTTTCTCACCTGCAGTAGTAGTGCCGGCCAAATTTTGTCCAGTGATCCCTGACAATCTCCTCCACACTCTGCTTTCGAGCCGCTAGGATTGAAAGCCAAACTAGCACAGCCCAGAGTCCATCTTTCTCTCGAAGGTGATCAGACCCTAAAGAGACATACATAAAGCACATTATTTGGTATCACTGCAAGTCAGAAAAGAAGGTAAAGAGGCTGGGCAAATGTCTCATTTAACTTTGTATGTCACGTAACAGTAATCAACAGTACTAACCTCAGCAACTCTGATATCTTCCAGACAGACAGCCAGAACTAATGCTTAAAATGTGATTTATTTATATATGACAAAGTCTGTACTCCTAAGGTTAAATAAAAAGACGTACAAGCATTTGAATAGAAATGGTAGTAGAAGGAGAACATTTTTAGTCATGACTCCTGCTCACTGACATACAGGGTGTTTTCACACCTCTGGTACTGTTTCCCAGAACTGGGCTAGGTATGCACACCCCTGGCGATGAACCAGAATGTTCTGAGTTATGTGAGTCAAGTTCAACAGCATCTCCTTATCTCTGCAGATGTTATTCTGTCAAGCTGCAGAGAAAAAATTTTCCCATTCCATGAAAATGAAGATTTCCAGAATGTTCATGACCTCCCATCAGGATAAAAAACAAAAGTCCAAAAAAATGTTTCTGGGGTAAAAAAAAAAAACAGAGAATAGCACTTTTCCCCTTTCCCTATTTCTCCATTTCTCTCAGTGTAAAGATGTTTGGATGCTCAGATCTAAATCCCTTCCTAGATTTATATTTATGAAGGGAGAAATTGATCCAATAATGGAGACTAAGAACAATTTTGGAATACTCCACAGGATTTAGCACATACTCTCAGATATGGGAGGCACAACTTCAAGTCTATTATCTGAATTCAAAAGAGCACAGACTTGATCTTGCACTTCCCACATACAAAGCCAAAATGCCAACTTGGAGTAATAGGCTGGTCTGCAACAGATGTGTGACATACCTTAACCAGAAATATTTCTATGACACTAAGCTCTGCATGTTAAAATTGGAATGTATCAATCAGCAAAAAGTTTCAATAAAATCAGTATTTCCTAACAAAAGACTGTTTCATAGGAAGGTTCTTAGTCATCTCAGCAAGTGCCCTCTCCTTTTGGATAATTCAGAAAAAGCTTTTGTGGCCATATGTATCTAACCCAGATTACCAAAAAATCACAAGGAAGCATGCATGAGAATTAACACAAAGTAAGATCTGAGACATCTGACACTCAGTAGATACTGATGACAATTACATAAGCTAATAGACTCAAGAAACTTGAAAAGACATCAAATATGTGGCCATTGGTCTGGCATAATAATACTAGATTTGGTTAAAGTTTGTTAGCTGCGATGGTTTTTTCTGTCTAGTCGCACATTATTGAAACCCTGAGCACAAAGCAAGTGCAGTAATTCACAAGTTTTGTTTCCTCCATGAACTACCTACTGATCAGGGAGGCAAACACTTGGACTATCTGTGCCCTTAGAAGATACTTAGCAAAATCCTCCAGAGAGAAATCTCGAAAGTCTTAAGTTGAAAACCTGTTTTATGAAATATCCTCCTTCCTCAAACACAAAAATCCTTTGGCAGCAAGAGTGCTTTGTAGTGCTGTGGTTTTACATAACAGCCTACAAGGTCTACACAGTCATCTGTCAAAACGGCTGCGTTTTGCTACTGGCGGAGGGCATGGTTCCCATAATATAAATTGATGCACTGAAGCTGTTAATCCTGTGAAAAACTGTCAACAGAAAATTAAAGACATATAAGGAAAACAGCAAGACGTGCGGAGAGCCACTGCGATTCCTAGGGTTCAGTCCTGACGTCCATCTTCCAGTCACTGCTCCTGCCTTGGACTTGCAATCCATCTTCTTGGGGAAGACCAACAGCCACAGCAGCAGCTGCTAGTCATACAGATTTGCTAAGAGCCCATCGTTCTGGGCCTGCCAGCTCTGCCTCCCACTTAGTCTTCTTATGTTATGTTCAACCCTGGGGGTGTAGACCTCCAACACCCTGAACCTAACATTAAGCAAGTTAACTACCAGAGAGTTAACTAAATGTAAATCACTATTTCAGCACAATATCAGAGTTGTATAGGAATGATTACTGAAGACTTGTGAAGAGGAAAAATACTTATATGAAGAGTATGTTTGTGTCTATGAGTTAGGAAATGCATAAAACAAGGACATTGAATACTGTAGGTGGATTTAAGAGCTGAGACAGATGGTAACGTTCCTTTGCGTTTGCAAAGTAGCCGTCATGATAGTAAGAATACTTCCTTTCTGCCACTTTTTATCTGCCTTGATCTGTAATCCGTGAGCTCTCTGCCACAAGGGCAGTCTCCTACTACAATGGCCAGAGCTATAGGCTGGTCCTCGAGGAGCCGCTATAGGAAGGAAGAGCAACAGCCCACTCTGTTTCCTGCTCCAGAGTCCCGGGTGCCGTGAAAGCATGGAGTGCCAACTAATCAGAAGAAAAAGGGCAGGGTTATTTATGAGCTCTCACAGCTTTGCAAACAGCTTCAGATAAGAAAGGAAAACGAATGTCCCTCCACAGGAAGTCAGCCCTTTGGACAATCGGGTCCTCACCTTGTCTGCTCCCTTGTTGCGATAACGTGCTAGATCAGCTGAAGAATGGCTTCCACAGAAACACCAGCAACATGGCCTACAGATAATAAAGTCAGCTTACTCGTAGGCAAAGCAGACGGCGTGGTCACGATCATTGTTACTGTAGCCAAGAGTCTGTTCCCAGATAATGGTGCAGGTTTCTGCCACTGCCACCGAAAGAGAGGCCTAAAATAGAGCTGTCACTTCCCACCAGCGTCCATCGTTCCTCTGGTGGCAGCAGGAGAAGCCATCAGGTCACCAGAGGGGCTGGGGGCTCCCCAGGGACTGGGAGCACCGGGGGCTCCCCCAGGGTGGCAGGGCAGGGCCTGGCAGCCAGGCCCCCCCCAACCGCCCCAGCCAGGAGCCAGCAGGGCAGCCCCAGCCCCGGGGAATCGGGCACCTCCGTGGGGACGCGGATGGGCTGAGGCCAGGCCGGGATGTGGGGCCGTGGGTAGGCCTCGCTCTGGGGGCCCACAGCCAGGCAGGGCAGGGCTGTGGGGAGCTGGAGACCGGCCTTGCTGCAGCATCGCTGGGGCAGGGGCTGACGGCCCCGAGGGCTGACATGGGCAGGGTGAGGGACCCCCAGGGGGCTGGGTGAGGCCCTGGCAACAGCAAGCTCACCCCAGCGTGGCTGTTCTTGTCCTTCTTAACCTGCTTGCCTCTCCTTTCAGCCATTCATCCTTAGCACTGAAAAATCCAATTTCATCTAAGAAGTCATCTCTTTTGCTGATATTATCAGCAACCTAAATGGCTTAAGACTCTCAACAGACACCAGCAAGAAGTGGAGACATGGTACTGAGCTAAACGCCTCAGCAATTTGTTCCAATGTAAACGATCATTTATTCTCCTGCTGTGTAACACTCTGCAGATTGCAGGCCAACAAATTGTACAGTGAAAGGCACAGCATTCATTCAGCAAAATGGTCTATACATCATGACATCTGTGCAACAGTCTGAACTGAACACCAAAGAAGAGAGGAGTTTTGATTTAACAAACACTTCGAGTATGTTTCATTGAACCAAAATGGTGCAGTGAAACATGGACAGAAGAATTTCTGGAAAGCTCTCTGTTGTGCTCTAAGCCTTGTTCCGGCATGCCTTAAGATCATAAATCTATATGAAGAGGGATGAGTGTATACACTTATCATTCTTCTGATCCATTCAGCAGCTTTGGCATGTGCTGGGTCTTTGTGTGTCCTTCAGGAGGGCATACAGATTGCTGCTTCTCTGGAAAGAGAAAGCATTGGAAGAAAGTAATCCAGAGGCAAAAGCCTGGATGGAAAAGTTGGAAACAACCCAACTGTTCCAGAATCAAAAGTCACTGATTAAAAACGCTAGCCTGATGGGAGTACAAGTACAATAACCCTGTGTGCCCAAGAAGCGTCTCAGTATGTCACTCTTAATAGGAGGAAAACTGACAACTTGGGATTTCTCAGAACTTGTTTATTCCACCTATTTCACCAGCATATTCATCAACTGGGTTACAATACGCACATATGTTGTTCCATTTACTGCCCTTCTTTCTTTTAGCAAACTAAAATTTATTACTGCAACTTTGTTAGTCAACTCTGTTTTTCACCTGCTGTCTCTCTCTCACTTATTCCTACTGCCCAGCTGACATGGTAGAAACTCTAGGGAGGGAGCTCATTCTGCTGCCTCAGTTCAGCTCACACCATTCTTCTTCACTTTATAGATCCAGTATCTGCTGTTGTGGATCCGCAGAGGCAGAGCTGCCCTGTGCAAAGTAAAAGGTGCCTTGCAACTATGTATTCCTGAGATTGCAATACTAATAGTCCTCCTGGCTTGCTGAGGGCTTTCAGCAATCTCAGAATAATTCTCAGTGATACTTTTAATTGAAACATCCAAGGCATTAATGACTGTTTAAGGAGCTGAAGCAGAAAGAGTCAACAGAACAGAGGTGTCAACAAATATTTTGCTGATTATCCCATTATATTTAATTTGCCATTAGTAAGGGAAATTATAATAACTGCATCTACTTTGACAATTTATTTTTAAGTTAATTTGTAAGGTATTTCTGCATATAACAGTAGCAAAAGTTATTTTTTATTACTGTAACAGTCAATTGCTATGGCCAGACTCAGAGTAAATAATCTGGGAAAAACTCTCAGAGCATGTTCCCGTTCATAAAGAAATACTCCATTTAAACAGGCATAAACTGAAGTAAAGTCTTGAGAGGCGATAGCCTGAGAAAAGTAAGATCATGCAAAAATGTTCATACTATACTTTTTCTGGTATTGGAAATCTGTTGGACATGCAGGCTGTCTTTTACATGTCTAACTTATTCTGTATCTGAGATTTCCAATTCTGATAGAGACAGTGAGGCCTGAGAGTCACACGCATGAAGAAAATGTCATTGCTTTCCCCTAAATTAGTCATCTCTGCCTAGGATATTGCATTCTGTAAATGTGATTTTGAAACAAAAATCTGACTGAAGCGAGTATACATTTTTTTGCACATGCTTTGAATCTTATGAATTTATCATCCAGCAATCTGAAACTTGACGATATTTTAGGCAAATGGAGATTTAGGGGCATTCTGATCTGTTCCTTCATTCAAGTTAATGAGATTATTTTAGATTTGTGTTACTATAACAGATATCACCAAACAGCTCTTTTAAGGCTTTCATTCATTTCAGCAGCAGCACATTTTTACATTCTCCACTAGTTCTTCTTCTACATAGTCTTGCAGGAGAAGGCGGCTGATGTTAATAGCATCTGGAAATTCAGAGATGAAGCATGCAAATTTATGAAAGATGTAGCGATTACTGAAGTGGCTTAAACTGCAGAAAGATAAATCAGCCACACAGCCCTCCTAATCCTGATTAATAGTTCGCTGATGAAATTTAGAAGCTAATTGCTGCTGCGGACGCCCTTCTCTGAACTGTGTCCTGGGCATTAGTCATAGAACCAGAAAGCTACTAACCTCATCAGACAAGCTCCCCACACTGCTACAAAAATGGAATAAGTTTTTAAAGCACTGGTTGAGCTCCAAGATCAGCTGCCAGAAAACAAGTCTGGGAAACACAGTCCTATGGGACGTTTTCAAAATCTTTTGTCCTTTTATAGCAGAAAATTTGCTTTTATTTACTTGCCAGAGCAAAACCCCTTATGTTATAAAGCCAGGGGTCAGTATTATTCGGAAATTCCAGCTGGGGTGTACTACCTGGGCACATGTGCAATTGGTCTCCAGTGCTGTTCAGCTAGTTTGATGACAGAATGTGGATCTGTGAAATCCCTTTCTCTTGCACAGAACAGCAAGTTTCCCACTCTGATCAGCTCTATGGTACATTTCCTTAAATATCCCATGCTGAAAGCTAAAGAGGTGCCAAGTTTCAGTTCCCTAAATAGATGCGATTGAGGGGAAAGCTGTAAAATTGATTCAAATGCCCAATACTGGCAGAAACTTGTGAGGGTCATGCAGCTTAGGACATTACTAAAAGATTCGCAATAAGGTAAATATTTATTCCTAAAACCAGCTCGCATCGCTGAAGTATTGGTCATCTACAGACAAGACTGCATTTTACAAATAAACCTGCTGGCATATGAGATATTTTCAGACAGCTGCACTGAATTGAAAGATGATAAGGAAACTGAGGCAGGGAGAAAAACAAACTTTAGGCATCGCAGTCATTGCATAATTGCCCTGTAGGAACCGTCATGATTCATTTACACAACAACTACACATGCACTGAGGAATTTAAACCCAGTGCTCAAGTTGTTTGGATGCCCATGGGATTGAATCTTGAGGGTTCACTTTAGCCTTTAGATGGCATTGACTTAAATGGGAGGTCAGGAGGCTTTCTGCACTGAAGTGTTGCAGGTACAACAAAGCTCTTCTGACCAGAACGTGCTGCGATGCACAGGTTAAATATTGTTGTAGAGCAGCTCTCCATGCTAGACAGGAGTGTGTTGTTCAAGCACCTTTAGAATTCACAAGAGACAGAATTATCAGGAATCTCAAGAAATAATGACAGGATAGGAGATCCAGATTAAGACAGGACCACAGAGAGTGCTAGGAATGCAGAGACTGGTCTGAGGTCAGGAGACAGGAGCTACAAAATTGGAAGAGAGGCTATAGTACAAAATGCAGTTGTTTTAGGCCCTACAGAAGGAAACAAGCAAAGGAAAAAAGTCAAGTGTAAGAACAGAGAGAAGTTAGAGGAATTACTTTGCCTGCCTAGAAGAACAAACTCCAGAGGCCCTTCCTTGACATCTATGAGACACCTGTTTCTCCTTCCCAAATTCAACAACCATCTGATACTCAAGGTAACAAAGTTAGGCCAACACAGATCACAATGCCCTGTGTTTCAGTAGATCAAGCCCTGAAACCACCTCTCTTGATTCCTATATAACTGATCTGCAGGGCTAAAGTCCGCCAATGCTTGGGACTGCCTGCTCAGCAAGACCTGAACATGCCTTTTCAATGGGCCAGGGAAATTTGATGTTTGGCTTTTTTTATAACTGCACCATAAAATTTTAATGACAACTCTCCTCAAAGGAGACAAGGCTTCTACTAAGCAACCAAAGGTTCTTCCCTTCTCCCTGAGACAGAAAGCATCTGCAAGAGTTGTACTCAGCATCACCAGATGAGGAGGGTCTAGGAGCCTTACTTCCCAAGCAGAAACAGGCCCGAGGAAGCGGTTTCTCATGGCATATGGCACACAGAGGCCACCCCTGTTGGCTTTACGTACCTCTACAGATAAAACTGCATGAACCAGGAGATGCTGCACTCTGCAGGCTACGGTACCCAGATGTACTTCAGTCTACAGGAATTTGCCATCAAACTCCTACAAGCTCCTTCCAGTCAAAACCCACACTTCCCTTTCTTCAGCATGATGACGAAGGCAGGAGTTTTTTCCAAATTATTTGGGTGCTAATGAGGTCATGCTGATGTCTCAAGACCCAACCAAGTTTCATGGAAATATTTGGGTTTTGATGAGCAGGAGGAACTTCAATATTTAGAGGGAAGGGGTACAGAACTGGCCTGGTGAAAAAGCATCAAAAACCAGTGAGAGTTGAAAACTCCCCAGTCTAGACCTCTCATGGGCAAATGGAGACACAGCCTAACAACACACCACAACAAATGGCAGCACATTCTGAAAGATACAAGATCTTCCTGCCCCACTCTCCAAGTTAAAACTCACTCAATGACCTTGCAGACCACCCTTTGAAAATATCTATTCAAAAGATACATTGAAGGCAATACAAATCTGTGCCAGTCACAGCAATTAAGCCAAGGCATCCAGGTTGCTAATCATGGGACATTGGTTCCCATTCACAACAGAAAGAAAATAAACATTCATTTAAATTCTCTTAATTCTTACAGATAGACATCCAAAGAAATCTAACACATTTTTGTTTCTTCCATCATAGTCCATTCAGGTACTTAGAGAGTTAATGACAGGCTAACACATGAAGTGGTATTTCTATGGCTTAAAGGTATCCTCATTTTTTAAAAAGCAGCATTTTGCTCTAATTGACTTTAACCAACAAACTTAATACTCGACTTAAGTCAATCAAAGCAAAATGAAATTTGTAACGAAGTTATACTGCATGATAAATTATTTTCTACGAAAAGCTGTAGCCAATTAATTATACACCAAAATAAAGAACTCCATGGAACTCACATCAAAACATAGAATAAATTATTAGCCAGGCAAATGGTTAAGTTATTCTGATATGTGCTCCTTCAAAAACAGTTTTAACATAAGTCTACTAATAAATAAAAAGAAGAAAGAATTTCTGTGCCACAGTCCAGGAAAGAAAAAAAGAATCACTGTGAAATTTATTCAGTTTCTCTCATAAACCAAAACCACGTTTGTGCAGATTTACAGACTACATATTTTAATTGTTTGCTCTAATGCTTCCTGTCAGTACTGAATTCATGAGGGCTCACATTTGCCTTTCATTCTGCATTCTACTGTGTGACTGGTTCTTGGGACAGATAAGGGAGAAATACTTAGGGAAAACACAGACGCCAACGTGTAACTGAGTTTCTTCTAATGATTATTCTATCTGAGTTTTGGTGATTGTGATGTTCTAAAAAGGGACACCTGCAACAGGTTTGATTAGATATACCATTACGGATACCAATCCTCACACTTTGTACACCGAATCACATTAGGAAAAACCATGTGGTTTTTCCATACAGGCAAAATCCCTCCAAATGCTGTTGCAGTTTGTGAAAAGAGTATTACAGTAGAACCAGTGAGATCTTTCTGCACTATGTTCAAGTCGGAAGAGAGTGCCAGGCACCTCCAAAAACTGTCTGGGCAGTGATAAGATTGCCTATGGCTTGTGAATGTCCATCTTCCATGTTTTTCATACCTCAGGGTACTGGACACCAGAGTTGCAAGAAGACCCTCAAAGTGTGAATAACTGACAGTTCTCTGTTCCAGCACGTTAATTTGCTGATTCTTTTGGCTTTGACTTGAGGCACCCAAGAAAATTAAAAGTTGTCATTATAAGTCTGTGGAAACTTTTGATTACGTATTACTTACCAGTGCCAAAGCTTTCCTCCCCACAAAGTGAGCAACGTCCAGAGTCCATGAGATTGGAAAAATATCTCCATCCTGTTGGTGTCTCATACACAGGAATCTTCATTACTTTTGCCACTCTGGAAAAGACACAATAAAACATCACACAATTAATACATTGCTTTTTTTTACATATGGCCTGGGCTGTAAGTAAAACAAAAAGAACAGAACAGATCAACAACACCATTCAAAACCAACCCTCTAATTGTCTCTGAAACTGACTTCAGAGGTATGTTTACACACCAACAGTATTATTTTGAAAAATGTAGGCCCTCAGCTCAATAGCCTTTACCAGCATCTTTCTGAACAAGAAACAGCTATATCCAGAGATACATACTTTTGTTATACTAAAATTTTAATGAAAGTTAAATCATCATGTTGAAGTATCTTCCTTTACAAAACACAGGTGGCCAACACCGATATGCTTGAAAGACACTTTTACTTCTGCTCATGTGTTCAAAGCCAACACAATACAGAAATGTTTCCATGATGCAGCACCTCCTCTAAAAAAGCTTTCCGAGCTTTTTTTCCTAGACTCAGCCTGAGTCTGAACTTACTTTCCCAGTCTCCTCTGATGCACCTACAGGAAATAGCCCCACTAGCTGGCTGACCTGCCAGTATTTTCAAAAATGAAAATAAACCACCATAAAAGCTGGATGTTCTTTCCCCTTCCCAGGTTGTTAACTGGTAATTATTCCTGTTATGAACTACAATGAAAAAATCCTTTCTTGGACTAAAAAACAAGAAGGAAGAAAAAAACCAAATCCTCTAACGAACCCACTACCAAGCTGGGATTTATGCAGAATGAATACTACCATTCTTCTTGTTTTTAATTATATTTGCTTGTTTTCATTGTGTGCCTAGGATTTTCAGAGCCAACTGTTTTTTAATATGAAAAATAAGTCTTGAGATATAGTTAAGCAATCTGACTGACGACGAAGGACCTTACAATCTCCCCGGGACTGCTACAGCAATAACACCTAACAAATATTTCATAAATTCCACCCCCACAGAAGAATACTTGACATGAGACGATTTACGTAATTTTAACTGCAGTCAAGCCCAGGCAAAGCAGATCAATCAAAGCAGGATTCAATGCGCTTAACGCAATCCACCTAGAAGTTACGTGTCAAGGCAAAAGCAGTCAACTCTCTGACCAACAGAGAGACATTTTCTGTTTTCAGACGCTCCATCACTGTGTCTTAAAGGAGACATGTAAGGTAGATGGGATGAACTGTCCAAATGTGCAAATACTGACCTTTCAAAACGTGGTACATAAATGTACCTAAATGACAGTTCAGCTCTTAAGTATTCTTGCTGAAATCTTTAAATTGTTAATCAGCACTGGTTATTAAGTCTCCAAATCCACTTTTTTTTTTTTTTAAATGTAATAAATATCCATTGCTATCTAAGTCTCCTCCTAGTCAGCCTAGGTGTTCATTTTTGTACTTTTACCTAAAAAGAGTGAGTTTTTTAATTGAGATAGAGTAAGAATTGCTGATACTTATTTGAAAAGAGCTAAAGAGGTACCTGGGAAAAAAGTATGATCAAAATATTTAATCCTAAACTCAGTTTTCATGGCTCTAGTTTAGAGGCAGAGGGAAGTGTATACTTCCTTGTATTTATACAGCACTAGCTATATTATTGGCCCTTAAAAATGCTGCTGTGTAATGGAGGTTATACAGTGCGGAGCTGAACAGGTTTCTGGCTGGCTCTGCAAAAAATCAAGAACATAATAGGATTTAATCTCTGTGTGACAATAACTGCAGACTGGGAACAGGACCGTACTGCCAAAAACCAGAAAACAATCAACCAGAAAACAATGGCTAACATGCTAGAAGAGCAAAACCAATTCTCTTGAGGTTGCCTAACAATACAGCAGGAATATTTCTGCTTGCAGAAATGTCCCCATATCCTGGTATGGGTTTTTGGAGAATTAAATCCATCCCCTTTCACTTTTCTGTATTCCTCTACTCTGGGGACAAGCAGCCTTGGATGGACCCATCTTGACCATCACCAAAGGCTTCCAGGGGCTGTAATGGTTTTCAAAGATTTCTATGTACTAGGCTAGTACTGGAAATACAGATGCTGATTCTGTTGACAATGGGCTTACTTTAAACTAAGCCCTTCAAACAAACAAACAAAACACAATATACATATAAACATATACATACAAAGTTTATAGTGAAATATGACAGATGGTTCCTTGCAGTATTTTCTTGTTCTTGATTCTTAAGATTTAACAGAACAAATAAGTAGAAGCATACTGAAAATTAAGCATACTCTTTTTCTATTGCCATTTTACTGAACTAAAGAATCGTCACTGGAAATCTCAATAAATGCAGAATGTGCCTTTATACAACCTATAGACATTCAAGGTGAATGTTTGCCCCAGGAAACATGAGAGGGGTTGCCACAGGAAGATGCAAAAAATTCTCGAAGTTTCAGACTCAGAGAAGTAACGTGCTGCATCAGATCAAACAAATAACACCACAACTACAGGAAAATACCCTCAGAGGAAGGAAACCAATATTCTGTAACTGGGAAATTACTAGATCTTCAAAGCCAGGGAAAACAGAGATTAAACATGGGAAGGGGAAGGGATTTTTAATGCTCCTACATTTACATCTTTCTAAACAAGAAATATTACTGGTATGACTTCAGTGCAGAGAAAGTAAAAAAAAAAAAAAAAAAAAAAAGGCATCTTCATTTACCAAAACTTTTTTTTCACTTTATATTCACCATATGCTTTCCTGCAGACAAAATGACAAAATCAGAGTTTTTAGTCACTGCTACACCAAGTAGCCAGATTTTTTAATTTTTTTTTAAAAGTGCCAGCTCAGACAAAAGGGTAGCATCCCTTTTAGACCAGAATTCGGAAATTAGTTTCTATGTGCCACTAAGGATTCCGAGCATTACCTAGTGCAGCATATGACTTCTTGACAAGCTTGAAAGATACTAAGGAAATATTTTATTCTGCTAAGCAAATAAATGCTTAGGATGAGGGTTTCTGGAACTTGAAATTCTGCACGAACAACTGCTGGTGAGTCATGGTAAAGGTTTTTATCTGTAACAAATCACAGATCCATTAATTACAATCTATGATGTTTTTAGCAATGTACCTTTACAGAACAGTTCAAACAAGTCTCTCTATATATAGCTTTTTATGTTTCTCTTCCTTCTGTACATTTACACTGGAGTCCCTAAATCTGGGGAGTTAGAAATGGAAAGTCAAGTGGTTACCATAAAGATTTTGTTGTCTATATGAGATCTCTTGGTCAGACAGGATACTACTTCTCTCAGAAAGTGAATTTTGGAACTGGTGTTGCAAAGAGTTTCTATCTTGCAGAGGTCTCACTCATCAGAGGAAATTTTGTATGTCCTTATATATATGTATAATGCATCATCATCAGGACACTGATGCAGTAGTGCTCCTGTAAGAGCAATACCTCAGTCTCTGAGTTGAAGGTGTTAGCTGTCAAAAGGCCTGACTTGACAGATGGAATATACTTCCAGAGCAATTCAAAATAAAAGCTGGAAAAAAATATGCCATATGAATAGCTTCGTTTTCCTAGTCTATTTCAAGTAAAGGCATTCTATTTATGTCTAACCACACAGTTGATATATACCTGTGTTTATACATTCCATGAATATGAACTATGTAGAAGGAATACAACAAACTGTGGATATTCTGGTCCTTGTCACCTCAGACATTTAATGGGACTGACTTCAAACAGTATTCTTCCTTGCCTCTTTCAGTGTAACTGCTCACTAAATCAATGAGATTACACAATAAAGTTTCTTCTGTCTGTGTGTAGCACTAATTAGCTCTTGCTAGACTGGGAAATGGGGTATTTACACTTGGACCTAAACTGAAGGGCAATCACCTTAGTTATTCTGCCCATATCAGAGCTAAGGGTATTTATGTTCCCAGTATGCTGAAAAACTAATTAAGGAGGAAAAAGAAATCAGAGTGGACTGCACTTTTTGCAATTACAAACATTATTTAGAATGATATTTTTTTAATTTAAAAAAAGCAGGAGCAGCTGTTTTTAAATGGTGAGATAATAGTGAGTTAAAATAAGACTATAAATTATTGCAAGGTTATATATTTAAATTCACCCTCCTACTGTACAACTTCACTTTCATTTTTATGAAGAAGAGCTAGTCCCACACTACCTATACTGACTGCCCACTTTTTACTAAAACATAAGGAGAACAAATACAACACAACCATGAGAAGCACTCTGAGTTACTTCATCACTAGAAAACTCTACAATAAGTCTCACCAAAGCAAGAGCTGGCCAGTTCACAATAAAGGTAATAATGAACGTAGTAATAATCTTCATAATGAAGATCAGGTTTTATGAAAATTTCCTGTCAGGAAAATAAAACTAACAGCTAATTCTAAAATTTCTCCTGAAAGCCTTAGAAGACTGATGTAGAAAACTTACCTGTTCTGCACCAGGCAACTGGGCTACTTATTGTACAGCTGCACATTTGAATATCATACGTCTTCTTCCTTATGTCACTTAACTAGGAAAACAGAGGGTACAGGAATCTTGACAGCCCAAATTATTTTCCTCGGAATTACAGTAAAAATATTATCCTGCTTAAACTGTGTAAAAAGACAACTTTCCATTGAAGAAAAAAATGTTCTTTTCTTTAAAAGGATTAAAAGAATATCCTTGTGATACCTTTCTTTCAGTTTTCAGTGGAGACAACAGACTATTTTCCACAGATGGGCTAATAAAGCAAAGTGGTCCTTGAGGGTATCTCCCAGTCACTGTGGTTTTGCACTAGCAAAACACCACTGACTTCAGCAGAATTACCCTGACTTACATTAATGAAAGTCAGAGGGAAGTTTGCTCCAACCTATTCTCTACAATACCACAAAATGTCCTGATGAATACATATCATTCGGACACAACAAATGGCCTGCGGCAAGCTGACTTTCTTGTGCCCAGTGAAATTTTTATAACTTCTGAGAATAGATCAGTCAATCAAACAAAATTATCCTGCCAAAGTCGTGACGCCTGTTCACCACAAAGATAAAGGTCACAACACTGGGGGAAGGGCT